TATATTATATATTATAATATTTTTCCTAGTTTAGCCTAGAAGTATATTATATTTCTAGAAAAACGAATATTATTTCTAATATACTTTCTAGACTTTATATCTTTAAACTAAAGAATATTTTTAAGAATAATACTCTTAATAATATCTATATAATATTAGAAGTATATATAACCGAGAAATTTAGAAAATATCTAGTAACTAGGTATACTACGGATCTATATTTCTAGTAAACTCTCTAATTTCTGAAATATATAAGTAATAAGCTTTCTAAATTATATATTTAACCAGGAGTTCTATTTTTTATTAAAAACGGTCTGCTATATAATACTATAATAAAGGGCTAAAACAGATTATATATTCCTAATATAGTTCTCTAAAATATATTTAAGGAAGCCTATAGCCTGGAATATTTTAGAATTCTAAAAATAATTTAGGAATTAAGATTATTTTATATTTCTAAACTAACTAAGAAAATCAAGAACTTTATTAAGTACTACCTGAGCTATCTTATAAATACTACCCTCTATATCTAATTAAATAATAAACTCTAGCCTATTTATACTATTCCCTACTTATTTTATATAATTACTATAGATTTTATCCTTATATTACCAGAAATTAATATAGTTATACCCTAGTTTATTAATAGCTATAGTACCTTTAATTATCTTATAATAAATACCTATAAGTTTTCTTATAAGTTCTTACTTATTCCCGGATATAATATATATACTATAAAAGATTAGGCTACTATTCTAGTTAGAATACTACTACTTATATTCTAGGACATTCTAAAAGAGTTTATTTCTGACCGGAATTCTAAGTTTATATTAGTAATTTAGAGAAAGATTTTCATATTACTTAGTACTAAGCTTTTCTATTTAATTATATAATATCTATAGACTAATAGGTAGTCCGAAATCAAAAACTAATATATTAAGATTACCTTTTACTATTATATATATAAATACCCGAGAATTCCCTAGTCTAATAATATATTATCTTTTTAATATACCTTAAATAATTCCTTCTATATACTAATTAGATATAGCCCTAATAAAGTTATTATAGGAATAAAGGCTAATACGGGATTAAGCCTTATTATACTAGAATAGAAACAGGAACTTCCCTTAGTTATTTATAAGCTATATTACTTAGATATTCAAATCTTAATTAATTTTACTATAAATATTACTAAGGAAAGCTATAATACTAAATACTAACTAATCTCTTTGGAAATTAGTAATAAAATATACCTAAAGCTATATAAGGGCTATAGCTTACCTAAGAAATCTAATCCGAAGCTTTCCGAATAATATATAGGATCCTTTATAATTATAAGAAAGATTAGCTACCTTATATATAAGCTAGATCTTTTACTTTCTTAGAAGATTTATTATATAATCTCTATTATATATTTTTAGCTAGCTCCTAAAAAAGAGGATCTATTTAGAAAACCTAAGCCAAATATCTAAGAACTAGTAAAAAGAATTATAGGAAATACTAATAAGTAAAAGTCTTATAAGCTAGAATATTTCATAAATAAATATATTATAAGATATAGTAATAAGATATCTATTAAATATCTTATATAATATAAAGGCTATTTATTAGTATATAATAAATAGTTCCTAGTTAAGCTTTTGGGAAATATAAAAAAGCTAGTTAATAATTACAAGAATTCTTTCTTAGTTCTTCTAGCTTTAAAATATTAGAAATAGTTTTCTAAAACTATAGATACTTACTAGTATTACCTTTTATACTTACTTAATAATTTTGGTATTACTTTACTATTTATCTTTATAATATTTACTTGACTTATTTATAAGGTAATCTCTTTATTATATTTCTTATATTTCTAATAACTTTAATCCTTAATTATCTTATAATATTACTAGAGATACTATTAGTTCTTCCCTTAAGGTTTCTTTCCCAGAAGTCTTTATATAATTTAGTATCTACTAGCTACTAAATACTTTTCCCGGTATATATATATAAATACTAGTTACTTATAATTAAGAAAGAAATTAGTAATAATCTTAATATAAGTAATATTAAAAACCGTAATAAGCCTAATTAGGATATACTTAATATATATTATAATTTTACTCTATATCTATTTCTTGTCTATAATAATAATAAACTTCTAATTACTCGAATATTCTTATTATAATAATACTAAACAAATTCCAGACTCTTTTTTAAGAATAATAAAGATTCCGAAACCGGTTCCTAATAACTTCTAGTAAATCCCGAAGGTAATATAATAGAATACTAATAATCCGAATATATTTCCCAAGTTCCTATATAGGAATATTAATAATCCAAATAGGGTTCCTAAGTTCCTATATAGAAATACTAGGAATTCTAAGATATTTCCCAGGTTTCTATATAAGATTACTAGTACTTCTAATAAGCTTCCCAAATTCTATAATAAGAATTCTAATCTTTCTAATAAGCTTCCTAATAATCCGAATTTCTTCTTATAACTTCCGGTTCTATCTTTAGATAGTCTAGGATCCTATACCTGACTTCTAGTATATCTATATAACTTTATTAGACTAAGAGGCCGGCTTTCTAGTTAGCTAGAATAAGCCTATTACGAAAATTATAAAGAACTAATAAGAAATTCCAGGAAAAACCCCTTTATTTCTAGTTAGATCCCAAATAATAAGCAGTCTTATAGTAATACTAGTATTATAAGGTTTATAACTTAGTTAAGAAAAAGAAGTTACTAAGATAAAATAAGATTAATAAATATATTAGGGAAGGTAATAATAATTACCTTATATAGGCTATATATATATCTATTAAAAATCTAATATAAGAGTTAGGAACCCCGAAGAAGAACCTTTAATTAGACCTAAAAAAACTATAAAAGACTAGCTTAAAGGTATTAATAATATAACCTATAATTCTAATAACTTTTTTTCTAGAAAAAGCTCTAATTCCTAACCTAATAATCAAGATATATTCCAAAACTAGTCTAATATTAGTTCCGAAAATAAATACAGATTCCGAGATTCCAAAAATAAACTTAGATTCCGAATTCATTCTAATATTAGTTCTAAAGATATTTATAGATTCGGAAATATTAGTACCCCAGATAACTATAATAGATACCGAGCTATTCTATAGTATATAAAGATTAGTTAAACTCGTAAATAAGCTATACTTCTAGTTATAATAAAGCAAATTAATACTTTATAATATAATATATTTTATATAGTTTACCTATTACTTTATATAGGATATTATTAAGAAGGATTTCGAGAATAATCTCGAGAAACTATAGCTACTCTTTCTGGAATATAAATATAATAATTACTCTTATTTTATTATTCCTATTTCGGAATCTAATCTTATATATATAGAGTAATATATATTAGGATTTAAAAAGTACTTAGCGGAATTTACTAGTATATATAAGAAGAATCTGGTATTTAGTATATTTCTTTACTTTCCCAAGTAGTATTATTAGGAGCTTTATATTATAATACTAAATAATAACAAGCTTTATATATTACTATAATTACAGGAATAGTTTTATATTTAGAAATTACCCGAAAACCTGCCCGAAGTTCTATAGGATCCTATAATAGCAGATTCCCAAGCTAGTAGTTAATAAATCCCAGTTATTAAGTATAATAAATCCTTATTATTATATATTCAAGAAAATATTAAGAGAAAAGAATAAAAAGACTAATTATACCTAAAGGAAATAGTTAAGGCAGACTATATTAGAAAGGTTAAAGATAGTATACTAGTCCTAATAGAAAATATATCTTATCTCGACTTTATTCCCGATAGGGAAATTCTCTAGTTACTAAAGGAATAGTAAACTCCCAAGGAAATTATTACGATTTCTAATAACTAGAAAATACATAATACTAGTCTAATTCCCCTAGTTATATAATAAATATTATAACTTCCAGCCATTTATACGGGCCCTGAGATAAGATTAATAATAACTATAGCCCAAGCTAGTAATAATAATTCTTAGTTCCCGAATACTAATATATTCCCGACTTCTGGTTACGTTATTATATACGGTTTTTTAGTAGATAGTTTAATATAAGAAGATATATATTACTAATCCTCTCTTACTATAAGTCAGTAATCCCAAGTTTAGTATCTATCTCCTATACCAAGTAATTATTCCTAATATATAATTATATATCCCGTACTAGTTTCCAATTTCGGTCCTACCTTGCCTCTATACCCAAACATAGCAGATCCCCGCTATTATTAGTAGTAGTATAATTCCAGGCTATAATAATATCTTCCTTATTTCCTATAAGGATACTATTAAGGTCTATAGTTCGGCTAGAACCAAAGATTACCAGGAAGTAGTTAATTAGGGTACTAGAAAGTATTAAATAACTACTGCTTTTACGAGATATAATAATATATACTTAGTACTTTTCATTTGCTTTTCTATTAGAGGCGTTATAGATTATATATAAATATATCGACTTTATAACAAGGACATTGCAATTAGTATATCAGGGCGGATATATTATATGGCAGGATAGCACGTGTACGGATAAGCGAGGCTTCGCCCTACTTAGCTAGTTTTCAGACAGAGAACTCAATGAATCATCCTTTACTACACATACAGCATTCAATACTAATAAATATTATTAAAAGGTAAAGCATTCCTTCTTCTTTCCTCTTTCTCTAGCTTAGGATTTTTTATATATGAAATTCTTTATACTTTAAGCCCCGACTATTATATTAATCCCGCTATTATAACTAGTACTTTTTCCCTTTTATTTCCTCCTCTCTCTTTTTCTCTTTAGCTATATACAAGTCGTAGATAGTCTGGTCCCTAATCGACGCCCCCAATCAATACCCACGGGGTGTCGTTTTACTTTTCCCCTGCTTTTTACCCTTTCCAATCACACTGTGCCACGAAAAGATCACGTGCTGTAGACGCCCCCGCACTCATGGGGGGCCAGCTGATGAATTTCTGCCTCAGGATTAAGAATTCCAGCATGTTCGAACAGCTCGACCGATTCTGGCTCCTTGATTGTGTCATCTACTCTGAGCTTTCCCCAGATACTATACTATATTAATACATTGAGTCTACAAGTCGTCCGACAGGCAGCTAGCGGCATGCCAAAGAAGCCAACGTTTCGATTTAGCATCACAAATGTCCCCGCTGTCGTCCTCGAATGGATTACCGCCCACCCTGGACAAAGCGCTTTGCTTGTTGCTAACGGCTTTCTAATCTTCACGCCAGCTGCTCTTACGGGCCCACTCCTCGCAACAATGGGTTTTGGGGCTTCAGGCCCTATTGCTGGTGAGTGATCACAGTTGTAGTTCACGGATGGGTCAAGACTGATCATTTTTTTGAATCACATTAGGCACTGTTGCGGCTTGGCTTCAGTCGATGCTAGGGAATGTCGGGGCACATAGTATATTCGCATGTTTGCAGAGTGCAGCAATGGGAGGATATGGGGTCCCTATTGTTAATTGGACAATGCAGGCTTACGTGGTGATTTCGGAGGCTGCTATATTACGTTTCTGGCCTAGCAAGGCATAGTGCAGTGCAGTTTAGGAAATGATTAATAACTTTGCTTGACTTTGCTACGGCTAGTAACCTCCTTGATGAGCTCGATGGACCGGTCCTCGCTTCAGTGGGTACGGACAGCCGTAATCCCGACTCAAATTTGATAGCGTACTATGGGAGCCAGTGTGTCCCTCTGAATCAAATCAAATCAAGTCAAAATCTACTTAATCAAATCATACTCAACTATAATCAACTATAGTTAATTATAGTTAATTAGCCTTGATTTTTTTTGGACACACTGATGAGAGCAAACAGAACGAAAGCGAAAGCGTCTGGCATCCGGTGTCTTAACAAATCAAGGGGAGCTGGCTAGCGAGACGGATACACTATCTACGCTTCCTCGTGACATTTCGGACAAGGGGGGTAGGATTGTTAACCCGGAAGCACTTGCTCAATTGTTGTTCTGGTTTTGGGTAAGGCGCGGTCGCCCTCGAATAAGGAACTGGAAAGCACACTCGAGAGTCTTGGGAATAGTAAAAATCACCATGCGTGTTCTACAGCATCAAAGTATATAATTGTTGTTGTTGACTGAGCATCCACTTGTTAGTTGTTTCACGTCGCCTTCAGATCCCTGTACAGTACATCATCATACAGGTATAGAAAGTTCCATCTTCTCGAGGAAGGGTATCGAATTCGAGCCTTTCCACGCTATCCATGCCTCCTTCAACATCTCTCTCAACATGAAGCAGTGCTAGTTGGATCGTCACAGGGAATCTTAACAGATCTTAATTCCAATAGCACCGCCTAAATGACCACCGACCCACACGTTGAGCTCTTCCAGACGCTACCTTCTGGGCAGAATTCGACGTTGAGGCTTCGTGCTCACAAATTGGCGATCGCTGTACTGTTTCGGAGTAGCGTTGCGCTCGACATCGTGACGTCCTGGTGAAGTTTATCGTCTGAGGGTTTGCAGTAATTGCGCTGTCTAGATAACCGACTGTGGAGCTTCAAACATGAAAATTAATGTGAGATTATTAATATGAGGCTGAATCTTCTAGTATTTCAGATTTAGTAAGAAGCTCACGGCCGCTGCAAGTGCCGCTCCCGAGTTCGCGCGTCACACGGTCTTTCAGCCCTTCCAGGAACTCCTCCATCGTCTGACCCTCGGGGTTGACCTTTCCATCGGGCAAGTTCCTCCAATTCTTCCCCGGAATCTCAAGAAACTCGTGACCCTTGCAGTGCGTGGAATCGGTATAGCTGCCTTGTTTCCTCGGGATGACGTCTCGACACTCCCCACAGAAATATACACTCGGGCAAATCCGGCATTTGAATATCGGGGCGTCGTTGCTACGACAAGTAGAGCAGTGGAGGGTTCCCTCGAAATATGGCGAGGCCGAGCAGCGTGACGCCGGCACGAGAAATTGCTCGAGCAAAATGGTCGCTCCTTGGTCATCACCTAGGTGGAGCAGCTGGTTTGCCCCCCTTTCGCTCAGCAAACGTCTCCTGTCAACGTCGGGAGTGAGCATTTCTACGATCCTGGGTAGGAGAAACTTCAACGCATATTCCCGGCGTATCGTCGGCGGCGTCGGCGTGTATGCTAACCAGTCCTGCGTGGTGAATCCGAGCTCTGTTGCGACCGAGCGATCGAAGTTCGACAGGAAATCGAAGGCATTCATCCCAAAGTAGCCAACTCTGTGCAGAGGTATGTCTCCCTCGGATGGTTTGTGTGAGAGACAAAGCGATGTCTCCTTGGGGCCGAGCATCCATACGCAGTTAAGAAACATTGAATTTCCGAAAGAAGCTTGGGCGAAGGGATCTTCGCCGAGATCCAGAAAGGTCTCCAGTATTTCCGGGGATCCCCAAACAGAGGCGAATCCCGGGGTCATATCATTGTTGTTTTTGACGTCGAGGCGGCAGCCCTTTGCAAGCAGATACTCAATCATGGAGCGGGGACTTTCTGCGTTTTCGGCGACGACATGTAACACTGAGTCACCGGATATGGTTATTGCGTTGACATCGGTACCTCTCTCAACGAGCAGCTCCAGGACCTCCAAGCTCTTGCCTGCCGCAGCGGAGTGCAACACAGTCCGCCCTTCGTTGTCTGATGCCCGTGGATCTGCACCAGCTAAAATGAGTGCTTCCACGATCTCAGGTGCCACGTCTTCCCTGCTGGCAGCGGCGTAGTGGAGAGGCGTTCGACCGGTCTCGTCTCGAAGATTCAGTTCCGCTCCATTCTCCAAGAGAAACTGCAGGCAGTCCAACTTCATGACAGCCTCACCCCCTGGGCCTAGCTGACAGACGTTGTGCAGGAAGCTCCGCCCCTTAGAGTCTAGACTGGAAAGGGAGATGCCTTCGGCTTCCAACTTGTTGCGCAAACCTCGGCGCAAGTCACTGCTCGAGTTATCCCAGAACCCAAGTCCGTAGACCCACGGATCTGTTGACTTTGCGACACCAGGTTGTGTCGACGGCTCGGAATCCGATTCGCGATCCACATCTGGCTCGCGATCCACATCTAACTCGCGATCCACATCTAGCTCCAGATCCATATCTAGCTCCAGATCATCCAAATCAAACTCTAGATCCGAGTCAACATCCACCTCGGCGGGACGGCTGGGATAGCCAGCAAATGCGTAGTACACAAACGACCACAGCAATCTCGGCGCCAGGGAACCCGAGCCTTTGTCAAAAGTTTTCTCAACTAGAGCGATTAACCCGGGCACTTGGTATACCTGATCTAACCTCTTGGCCCATAGGTCAATGTCATAATCTGTGTTCAGCCAGTAGTTGTAAAAATCGTTCATCGCGTTCTCCTCGAACATGGACTGGCGGGTCTGGAAGTCGGGACGGCGCAGCAATGTCCGCAAAAGATCGAAGAGCATGCTGCGGGCTAATCCAAAGACAGCCGTAGTTACGACCCTGTGGGACTGCGCCTGGAGATTGAGGTCGGGGTGGGAGAGCAACAACGGAACCACGACTTCGGTCTCTTTTGCCCTCTCATCATAGCAGCATGCAAACTCCAGGGCTCTGCCGGCATTCACATCAATAGCCGGATGACCTAGCAGAAGACGTATGGTGGTTTCCTGCTTGTTCTCTACCGCGTAGCAGAGTGCTGTTCGGCCCTTCTGGTCTCGAATATTGACATCCAAGGATCCATTAGCTAGCAGCAGCGTCAGAATAGAGTCCCAGCCGTTCCCCGCCGCTAGCATGAAAGCAGTGGCGTCATTTCCATCTCGCTGGTTAACCTCGAATCCCATAGTCAAACAGTCTTGGACCGCCCGATGAAGGCCGTAGATCGAGGCGATATGGAGCAGGCTACTGTCGTGTGAAACAAACGACGCAAACCGCTCCGACTCACTAGATCCAGCTGGGCCGTTCCTGTCTTTGAGCTTGTAGATCATATATTCCGACCAGAGTTTGAGGGAATCCCGAGAAAATGCGAAACTTCTTAGAGAGGACTCTGCCTCACCAGCACATGATCTCCCCGCATGGATGCCCCAATGGCCGGCAGCGTATTCCCAAAATGGCCACTGGTGGACTCGAATAGAGGCTGGATCCTTCGTCCACTCCAGATGGTCGCCGGCCCGCGACTCTTTCTCGATGAAGAGAGTCATGTAAGTCAGACAAGATCCGGCCAAAGTGCTATCAGGGTCGTCAAACAGTTCATCTCGTCGTTCTTGGAGGAATTCGTTCACGGAGAAGTGCACCAATCTGATAACTGAAGTTTCTTTGTCGATGATGGTCAGGCCGAAGCAGCAATGCACAAACAGCTTGGGGTCTGTGAGAGCCCCTAACTGCGAGGAACCCGGTCGAGTGGCGATGGCGTGCTGAAGCTCATTGGTCGTAATTGGTCGTCGGACGGTAGAGAGCCATTGGAGTACCGTGAAGGCCAGTCTAGAGCGGGTCTGACTTTGAGAGTGCTGCTTTTTGATTCGCTCAATGGTCATGGCCAGATTGTCGGCAAGCCCGCTGGGTAAGGTATCCAGCGCGTGTTGTACCTCGTCGGCGTTGGTCTGACCAAGAATGTTGTTGATCTGCAGGGCCGGGAGAAGAAACCTACGAGTACTGAGGTTAGATTTCGAAACCTTCCCCAAACGGCACGATTCCATTATTTTATTGGAGATGTTTACTCACATTCCTTGGCTTTTCTCTAGGATACGTTTGACAATCACTTGTTTTAAAGAGTCGTCAAGCATTTCCTTCATCTCAACGTCGGACTCAATCTGGCCCAAGACATAATCTTCAATATCCTTGTCTGATGCCTCGACAAGCACTTGAGGGCAGTCGCCGAGAACCCTGTTCACGTCGGGTGGATACGGTCGACTGGTGATCAGAACTTGCACCTTGGACGACTTGAGGCCTTGGATTAATTCAAGAATCGGGCCTCGGTTTGCCGCGGCATCGCACTCGTCAAGAGCATCGAGGACAATGAATATCGAGGATCTGCTGTTGCAAAAGCTGATAAATAGGGCCATGAGGTCTATCCAGCTCGGTAGGCCTCTACCTTTGGCGAGATCTTCGGCCAGTTTCGTTGCCTCTGGGGGTATGCTGGAATACGTAGATAGAAGCTGGTGCAAGAGGGTCTGCAGAACCATAAACGGCGTTTGGACTCCTTGCTTCTTATAGTCGAAGTAGAAGTAGAGAACTCGCCGTTCGGCTACTTGTGAGACCTCCAAGAGGTCATCGATAACGACAGATCTAGCACGACGCACTATCTTAGTGCTGCCCGCGGATTTGGGACGTCACTCACGCCAGATAGGTTTTACCAGCGCCGGGAGCGCCATTGCACCATAATGTCCTGTCGCTCGAACGCCCATTTCGCCATACCACGAAGGCAGTGGCTTCAAGGATCCAACGGCTGCCGCCCTTCATTCGCGTGAGTTGCAAATTCCGATGCCTGTCTTTGAATTCCAGCGTGGGAATGCTTGCAAGCAGTTTGCAGAGATCGTGGTCTAAGAGCGTCAGTAATCATCCAATTATATCAGTCACATGATATGTGGAGTTTCTTACCAAGGACGAGCTCGTCAACCTTTTGGGTCAAGTTGTTGATCTGTAGTTCGATCTCCGGAAGCATCCTCACAGCATCTGCCACTGCTTGAAGCGTGGCTTCCGATTGTCGATGCCCGCTTTCAAGCGAGGCGCGGAGGCTGTCTAGCTTTCCCAAGGCGTCGTGCATTGGGAGGGACAGAGCAACCCTAATCAAATGTTAGTAACCGGCCTCAAATCGCTCAGATTCTGAGTCACCCACAGCCCGTCGAGAGTAGCCGCAAAGTGGAAAATCTGGACATATCGATGGAGGGTCCGGACGGCTTCTGTCGTGTCCTGGTGTTGCAATGGCCATGTTGCGCGCCTCCACAGCTTTTCGAGTCTGTTGCCTGAGACATGGGGTGCCAGGCTGGCTTCCAAGCCTTTCAATTGGGCTTGGCAGTTTTGGATCGCCGAAAACAATGTTGATGTTCGCTGCAGCGAAATGGTGTGTGTTGGCTGCTGAAGGGATTCCCTGAGCGCCAGAAGGACCTGTGCCACGGCTGCAACCTCATCACCGAGAGTTTCCGCGTCCTTAGACGCAGACTTCAGCGACCGGCAGTATTTCACAACCGTTTCGGTGAGGTGGAGAGATGCGCTGAGAGCACCGATGACCTCTGCCATACTGAAGTTGACAAGAACTGGGCGGAGAAAGAGAGGTGCGCGGGACTCGTTGCATGAAATGCATCGCTCCTGAAATCGTCAGGCTCTTAAAGCGCCAAAGCTAAGCCACCCAGCGTGCTGGGTCCCTCCGGCAAGCAATGTTGCAGTTGTGTGGCAGCCTATTGGACGCCTCCTGCCTCAGGCCCTCAGGCGACGTGCCTTCCTTTCCCTTTTGTTGATTTGTGAGAGCGGATGCTCCCGCGCGATCTGATCCATAATAATTAAGCGCAGACACGAGAATTTTTAGCGCGGTGATACTACAATGTTTGCTTCGTGAGAAAGGCGTGCGTGAATCCCCTCGGAGCTATTGAGTTATGGTCCCGAAGGACTGGCTGGGGCTGGCTGCGTCAAAATTATTCGCCGCTGCTCAGGTTACATTAAGCGTAATTGGCTATGAACGAGAAGTCAAAATACGGGGTGATTTGATAGATCTTGCTTAGGATACTCAGAGTACTCAAGTGAGTCGTTCAGGTCACTTATCCGTTCCGCTGCGGCCAGGTGCGTACCTACTCGGACCGGAATAACTGTTTTTCCGGAGGAACACCAAAATCGCGCTTTACTATTTACATGTAAATAAACCACCTAATTAATCAATTACACCACAACCACGATGCCAGACAATACTGTGTTTGATTTCACCGATAAAGGGACCCTTCGGCCTAATGAGGATCTACTGCGGAAGCAGGGAAGTATCTTTAAGCCTATGCAATTGCCCCAATTCGGCTGGGAAATTACCCTACCAGACAACGTCTCTCCCGATAATCCAATTACTTTGTTTACTATGTACTATACACCAGAAATCATTAATTTAATAGTTGAGAAGACAAATAGCTATTTGCGAGAGCCTCAGGACAATTCGTGCCCTCGTGCAAGAGCAAAGGAGTGGTACCCAATGTCTTATGGAGAGATTTATATCTACTTGGCAATTCGTATTTATATGATATTGCATGTGGATAATGAGATTACAGACTATTGGAATATAAGGGACTTTACCCCCTCGCATCTAATTATAAGCTATATGAGCCGGGACAGGTTCCAGGAGCTCCATATACGTATGCGATTTCATGGAAATCAAGAATAAGGCCCGTATAAGAAGGTAGCCCCTATTTTTCTATCCCTTTTACCTGAAACTAGCTAATAAACTACCGAGCAGGTCGAAGCCTTTAGTACGTATATCCAAGAGGTTAATTTGAAAGTTTGGAAGCCTGGACGGGACTTGGCAATGGACGAGATAATCGTATGATTTGAGGGTCGATCAAAAGAAACAACTACTGTTCCAAATAAGCCTATACCTACAGGATATAAGGTCTGGGAGGCAGCGCAGAGGGGGTTCTTACTCGTATGGAACTGGCATATTCCTGGACAAAAAAATAGGCCTGTGGGAGTACGTACTTTACGAGAGCTTGGTGGGATAATTAGGGCTAGAAATGGGGGAAATAAGACACAAGTAGTAATCCTGTACTTGATTAAAAGACTGCCTAAGCCTCCTGAGGGATCCGGCTACCACGTCTACCTTAATAATCTCTTTATTTCTACTCGCTTTGTTTAATATGCTCGCTCCCAGGGAGTTGCGATTACTGGGACTTGCAGGATAACTAGTGGGGTTATTAAGGAGCTTCTTGACCTTCAGAAATCGGATAAAAAGGATGTAATACCTTGGGGTGAAACGCATTCCAGGTATATACCTAATAGAGAAGTATATTACGTTGGGTGGAAAGATCAAGCCTTTGTTTTAATAATGACTTCCTTTATGTCAGGTGACGAGCGTATTTTACGGCTAAGGAAGAGGCCTAAGGAGACTTCTTCTAAAGCAAAGACTATACGAGTACCCTTTAGTAATCAGGCTATAAAGATACTCTTAATTCCTGTAATTGCGGACGGATATAATTATTATATGGGAGTAGTTAATGAGTTTGATTACCTGACTTCCCAGAACGCTGGTTTACGGCACGTGGAGCGAGGGGGGCACCAAGCACTAGAGCATTGGCTATTCCGTACGGTCTTAATTAATTACTATTTACTAGCTTATTATTCAGATATACCAGAGCCTCGGCAAGTGAGCTTTAGGAGCCAGCAAGACTTTAGGGGGCAATTGATTACTGCTCTTGTAGTAAAAGGGAGGGATGGTGAGATCTGCCAGAAGAGAAAAATATCGCGAATTAGCCAGGAAGCTAATAAGGTACCTGTGCGATTGCATGAGCAAGTAAAGCTTGGTAAAAATGGGAGGTGTGTGTACTATAAGGGACTGAGATATACAGATCGGCCTAAAAAACGGGTTGCACTAGCTCAAATTGCAGCTAATCAAGGCAGGAGAAGCTTAAGGCATGATTCTATATGGGGATGCAAGCAATGCGATGTTCACTTATGTAAATATAGGGGTTGTTTTGAGGTTTTTCATCGGAATTAATACTTTTTACCTCCCAAAGCAGCTCTCTGATTGGCTATAATTAAGCGAGAATCGATGCGCACGGTCCAGTACGCACCTGGCCGCAGCGGAACGGATATACAGCTCAGGCGAGTTGACGAGAACCCAGGGTGAACCAAGAGCCCAAAGCATCCATGTGGCTGTGAGTCACGTGTGCTGGTTTTAAGGTAAGCGCTAGCGTAAATTAATCAAACCCTTTCGCAACTACAGAACGTCTGTTTGTACATGTCCTAGGTCGTCCCGTGCAGCACCATGAATTGTCTCATTAGACTTCGACAACCCCGTCGGCACGGTGGCACCTTTCTCCACCAGCAGATTCGTCACCGCCTTCCCCTACCCTTCCAGAGCCCATTGTGGTGCATGGCCTCCGCCTCCCCGAGCTTCTCTTGGCCATGGCAGAGAAGGGCAATGCACGCAGTGCCGCAAGTCGTCAAGGCATGCCCGGACGTTGGTCACTGATTATGTCGGGCGTTTTCCATTCATTGCATTCATGGGTCGACATGTCGAACGCTCTTACGTAGCGCCGTCGACCACGTTGAGTCCATGCCGAGATCATACATCTGCAAGGACAGATCCCAGCTCCACCTTCACGGATCCCCTACCCCTTTCCGATTTGGCAGCAGAGCCATTCGCCGAGTTATCGATGACGGGCTTCTCATCAATTCATCTGCCGGTAACTCAGCCCGAACAGATGAATTCATCGGATCGGGAAGCCCATGTATCGGCACGTCCGAGACTTGTCGCGACCAACTGGGTAACTCAGTTGCATCCAATTCCGGCATCCTGGAATCTGGCTTGACAGCACCTGCACCTAATTCATAGGTTGGTCCTGACCCATAGCCCCGCTGGAGCTGCCACCGTGAAGGAGCCTCTGGCACCAAATTATCCAACAGCAGCTGCGCCACTACTCCGTGCTGGTTCGAGACTGCCCCCTGCAGCGCCGTCCGTCCATTGCGATCCTTCGCCATGATATTGGCCCCATGCTGCACCAGGTGCCGCACCACTGCCTCGTGCCCTTTTTCGGCTGATAGCATCAGCGCTGTCCGTCGGGTATCACTCCGTGCTTCGAGGTCTGCCCCCATCTCAACCAGCAGCCGGACTACTGCCGATTTCCCGTTGAAGGCCGCGACGTGCAGCGCTGTAAATCCGGAAGGCCCCCTTACCTCAACGAAGGGATATTTCTCTAGCAGAATTTGGACCACCGACTCGTGCCCATTGTAGGCTGCAATATGAAGCGCAGTAGAACCAGAAGGATCCTTCGCTTCGACGTCAACGCTTTTATCCAATAGCAGCCGGACCACTGCCGTATGACCGATACGGGCCGCACTGTGCAGTGGAGTTCGTCCTTCACTAGATTTTGCCATCGGATCTGCCCCATTATTCAGAAGTACGCGGACCACCGCTTCATGACCGCAGTCGGTTGCCAAGTGCAGCGCCGTACATCCAGAAGAGCCCTCGTAGTTTATGTCCACTCCCGCATCTAGTAGCTTCTTTATCTTCTTTGCATCCCCTTTCTTTGCGGCACGGTGCAACTCTGTGTTGGACCTGAAAACTTTGAAGAATATGGACCCCGCACGGGGTACCTTCTTGGTCCGGTCGTGTCGTGTTGATGCGGAGCTGGATACCACCGTTTCGGTGTCACTGTCACCGTCAAGTAGACTGGGTCCACTCTGGCCCGAGCGAAAGCTAAAGCCAGCAACACTAGCGGAGGTTTGAGTACAAATAGACGTCGAATCGTTGTCAAATTGTTCCCATAGATCTTGACTATATCCACCGTGCTCGTAGGTCGGGGCATCTACTGGATCACTTATGTCGATTAAGTCGCCGATAAAGGTGTCATTCGTGCGAAGTTGTTGAATTTCCGAAAAAGAATTTCTAAATATCATTAGCATGCTTCAAGCGTTCGACGTATGAGGCTCCAGGTTTCGATTACCTTTGTGCTGCCGCAACCAGCGAGTTGATATCCATTAGCTGCCTTTGGATTTGCTGCAGAAGTGCCTTTATCCGCACTTCATCGCGTGGGCTTTCTCCCGTGGTTGTTTGATTTCCCATCCACTTTCCTGCTTCTTCCCCCAGCTTAGAGACCGTGACATTGCTACCACTCTCTGCATTTTGTAAAGGTTCTTCGAGCTGGAACTGTGAGATGACACGCGATGAGAGGGCGTGAGGTTGTCTCAGCAGCGACTGGATTTCCGTCAAAGTCTTGCTGATGCCCGAGCCCTGGGCTGATGCCGTCAGGTCTGCATTGTACTTTTCAGTGACATTCTTTATCGCTTTTGAAATGTTTGTGTAAAGGGAGTCTAGGGATGATGCCGCTGGGGCTATCGACCGCTGATCCATAGTCCGTCGTGAGGATCAGCCCGAGTGGATGCAATCATGCTACGAAGTGCAGGGCAAGGAGTAGCAGAATGCTTTGAGGTGCGGCTGAACGATTCAAGTCATGTGATTAATCGAGTCAATGAAGCAAACACCATCAGACTTGTTGCTGCGTCACCCGATTCGGGATTCATTATATTGAATTCTTGTTTCAGCCTAGCGCTGGCACTTTCCTTTGCTTTTTCTTATTTACTTGGAAGTGGCTGATTTTGCTGAAACCATAATCTACCGAATTAAGCGACGGCACTTCAGCCGCAAGCCACACTTGTTGCAACCATCAACATCTCGAAAGACCTATGTTGCCGCGTGCTTGCTTCTAGTTAAACCGAACAGCAAAGAATTCACATATGTGCGTACGCTGTATCCAAGAGTTTATAATGTAGAGAAGAGAACACCAAAATGAGCGAAATTTTGAGGATGCCCGACGGGCACAGACCCATCGATTCTGAGACATAAAAATCAATAAATCATGGAGGCTTTGGTGGCGTTCATGGCATTTACCGTGTGCCCCAGCCAGTAACTGCGGGCTGCTGCAGGCTCTGCACTTTCTACTGTGCTTAAGCGCAGCACTGCACAAGCTTTTTCCAACAGATTGAAGGCTGAACGCCAGAGCGGTTCGCCGCCATATCAGATCTGATGAAGTGTCGCTGAAAACGCCTTTCGCCTCTAGTTGTACTAGGATCTTGACCAGTGGATCTGATTACCCCTCCAGTGTATCACTCTCTCTGTCACTTCAAACAAGAGTCTTAAATCTAGATGTTTTAAAACTGATGAAACCGAGTATGTAGCATTATGATCAAGTCCATCCTCCACGACTGGGCTGGCAAAGAGATATTGCGAATCATTTTTGCAAGGGGAGCGCGTGTTGAGGAGCTGCACATTGGGGCCAATGCTTTGGTGGCTTTGTCTCTGCTGCAGTGCCGAGTCTCGCAGCCAACCCATTGCTGTAATTCCGACATCCAATTGATTTGGACGTCTTCGTGTTGAGCGATTCGAGGACAGCAGCTGTACGCAGGTGCAGGCCTTAATGTTTGTTACACCGCCTTTGCAGGGGTTGCGCTGAAATGCCCTGTAGCAATGCGCTGTAGCCGACTTTTGCTTAGCAGAACTCAAGGCGGTGTAACAAACATTAGGGCCTGCACCTGCGTAGTACAGGGGCATGACGGTCTGGACTCTGCAGACGCTTCGTAGCCTCCGGCTCGATTAGCGAACAGCTGCTCTTGACCGACTTTATGGATTTTTCTTTATTGGCCCTCAGGCTTCGAGGCTTTGGGAGGTGGTGGGAAGAGCCTTCTGCGGCTCCGCATCCTCGTACCACGCGCTCTTGATTGTGACTTCTGGAGAGGCGCCGTCTGCTGCTAACCTCAAACGAGCGGCGGCCAGCCATAGCAGGGTTCTCCGATCCCGCATAATCTAATAAATGGAATAAGTAACTATTGAGTAACATTTCCCACGTCTCGGGAGGCGCCCTACAGGGCTGGAGATGGATGGAAGGTATGTATACAAAGTATCCTTACAAGCCTCTGTTGTATTGTGTTCGTAATGAGGAGGGCTAAAATTACCTTGTTTATTGCCCGTGGTAATGAGGCATTACTTTTTTTTTCATTTTCATTTGGTGTTTTAGGTAATAAAACTCTATATCGTAGGAAACACTCACTACGCACCATGTCTTCAAGCTGGCGGCATTCTACTCGGTACTGGGCTGGCCTTGCCAGTAGGGTGAGTCCCATTTTGAGAAGGGTTCTCGCAGTAAAGTGGTTCATTGGCTTGCTGGGTTTAAACCATGTCTCGCCATTTTCGGATGTTGGCGCTTAATCTGATTTCCACCAAGGGACAGGGCTGATGAAGTAACAGATCTCTTCCACCACCCTCGCCCCTTCACGGATGGCCGTGCTGTTCTTCAGTATGTGACGGCTATTAATAGGCACCTTTGGTTCCTAGTTTGCCAAGATCCGTTATATACCACTAACCTTCATCAACCCTTGCCCGTTCGATTATTTTCCCCGTACTCTTCATATTCATTGCCGGGTAGTCCGTACCAACAAACTTTCGACTAGCCATTATTCCGTGTGTTGAAAGGAAGAGTTAGCATCTCATCATCCAACCACAAGCTGCGAAAATCGAGTGTCAACAAGCCGAGTTCATATGATCCACGATGGAAACAACTATGCAACAGCCCGTTGAAGACAAGGGGATGTCAACAACCTCGTTCGAGCCCATGGAAGATGACTTCCCGATCGATCATGACGAGAAGGTCCTCTTGTCTTTGGGTTATAAGCAAGAATTCAAACGAGAATTCAGTCTTTGGACATCCTTCTGCGTTAGCTTCGCCGTGTTGGGGTTGCTTCCGAGTTTCGCATCGACGTTATTCTATGGCATGGGCTACGCTGGGACCGCGGGTTTGTTTCTTTTTTCTTCTTCAAACAATATCGCGGGTGTTGTAACTGAATATTGGGCTAATTTCAATCTTCCCTCCAGGAATGGTTTGGGGATGGATAATTGCCATGATCTTTATCCAATGCGTTGCCCTAAGCTTGGCTGAACTCTGCTCATCAATGCCAACAAGGTCAGAATTGCATTCGCACTTTATCATATAGCATTTTCTGACGTCCGTTTATGCAGTGGTGGTCTCTATTACGCGTCGGCTGTTCTTGCACCCCCAGGATGGGGCCCTGTTGCATCTTGGGCGACTGGCTGGTCCAGTTGGATTGGACAGGTCACAGGTGCACCATCGGTCAACTATTCAGCAGCGGCAATGATTCTTGCTGCTCGGTCGATAACTGACCCAAATTACGTTCAAACGAAGTGGGAGCTGTTCCTCCTGACCACTTTCCTCATGCTCGTCCAAAGTTGTATCAGCAGCATGCCAACCAGGTGGATCGCCATGTTCAATTCTTTGGGGTCCAGTTTCAATATGGTAGTAGTAATTATTGTCATCATTCTCATACCTGCAGCTACAACAACAGATCCTAAGTTCGCACCAAGTCGTCAAGTGTGGGGCACCATCGGGAATGGTACAGACTTCCCCAATGGTATCGCCATATTGATGAGTTTCATCAGCGTTATGTGGGCAATGTCAGGCTTTGATGCGCCTTTCCATCTGAGCGAGGAATGCGCCATTGCTGATGTCGCCTCCCCACGCGCCATTGTTTTAACGTCTGCAATTGGCGGCATATTTGGTTGGGTCTTGCAGGTGGTTGTAGCGTATACAGTCGTCGACATTGGGGCAGTCATTGCCTCTGACCTTGGCCAACCGTGGGCGACCTACTTACTCCAGGTTCTTCCGCAGAAGGCTGCGCTTGCCACTCTCGCATTGACTATAATCGCTAGCTTCTCAATGGGTCAAGGTTGCATGGTTGCAGCATCTCGAGTCACCTATGCCTACGCTCGTGATGGTTGTTTCCCTTTGTCAAGATTCTGGCGGAAAGTAAACAGACACACCAAAACACCGGTCAATGCTGTATGGTTCAACTGTACCATTGGCGTCCTGCTTTGCTTGCTTATATTTGCCGGGGAAATAGCTATCCTAGCTATATTCTCTGTCGGCGCCATTGCTTGCTTTGTTGCATTCACGATCCCCATCTCTTTGAGGGTCTTCTTTGTCGGCAGTAGGTTTCGAAGGGGACCTTGGCATCTTGGAAATTTTGGCAAGCCGATCGGGGCCGCCGCTGTTGCATGTAACCAACCTATTTCTTTGTTCCATATCCCGAGTTCCCTGTTCTATCCCAGCTCTGCTACCATCAAAGGGACATGTTGCTAATTTGTTGAAGTCGTCGTTCTGATGGTTCCGATATTGTGTTTACCTCCTCTGATTGGAAGTAACCTCAAGTAAGTCCTGCAAAACCCTCTCACAAGCATAATGGTTATTGACTGAATTATTAGCTCTGTGAATATGAACTGGACCTGTCTTGTGTATGGAGGTCCCATGTTGATTGCTTTGCTCTGGTTTGCCATTGATGCCCGCAAGTGGTACAAAGGACCGAGGGTTAATGTCAAGCATGCTATGATCGGCCAGGTTATCAAAGATCTCGGGAGGGAGGTTTGAATAAATTGCGGATTCGCTTGCTTGATTCATAGTCGATTCAAGTGGTCCGATGGAGGCATGTGCTGCCGATGCTAGATTCCTATTATCTTCATTCTGGTTATGCAAACAGTCCTTACCTTCCATAGTTTTGAATAAGATAGAACTTCCTGTCCTCGTTGTTACGACTACAGTCTCATTCCGAGCAACTGACACAAGTGCTTAAAATGGTGCTATGCAGCATCCTATCCACTTTAATATTCAAATTTCCACGTTTTAGCATTCCTTGGACTTGATACAAATTGTCGTCGTTTGAACAGAAATTTACACATAGTTAAAGGCTTTGAAGACTGGAAGTTAGGCAAGGAAAAGCTGTTGAGAAGATTGATGAGGAAGCTCGCTCTGGGATGTTGGAGGAATCAATTGATTACGCAAGCCAAAAGAAAAAAAAGAGGGTCGCGTGACCGCGAGGAGCGAAGAAAATACGCTCCCGCCTCAAATTGGCCTGCTAGAAACAAATTCCTTATGACCAGCATCAGAACAGCATGTCAGTGCAACTAAACAACAACGACATCGTATCAACGTGCCAAACGACTACCATGGCTTTCCTCCAAAGTCGAGAGAGGATGGCACTTTCCTGACTAAGCCAAAGGGGAAGGAGCCACGCACCTGCGCTACGAAGTGAATTCGACGCGTCGTTAGGCTTTCCTAGTAGTCTCACACAACTTTTTCTTTCTTTCTCCCGGAGTTGGTTAGTAGCCTGGCTGCTTCAACTATTGAAAGGGCTGTTTTGCACGTGATGGCGCTAAGGGTAAAACTCTGATTTTTGGGCACTTGTAAACCTTAGCTTTTTACATTAATTATATGCTCTTTTGCAGGACCCCAAAATTACCCTCTCAACATCAACCAGTGTATCAAAAAATAATCAAGGCTAATTAATTAGAATTGATTAGAATTAATTATAGTTAAGTATAATTTGATTAGCTTGATTTTTATTATAATTAATTATAATTAACTATAATTATTACATAATAATATAAAAGTATACTTTCTTAGGCATTTTTAAAGATTATTAAATAACTAGTAGCTATATTAATAAGATATAAATAAAATCTATAAAGCATATATAAGAGTATAAAATCAGTCTGAATCTAAAATAATAAACTAGTTTTTATTACGTAATACTAGTTATATAGTGCTATTGCACGTGACTTAGCATGTGACTAGTATTTTTTTAGCCTGGTAAATAGCTTAATTCAAGCTCTTTACTACTACTATAATATTATATTATCTTAATAGTTCTCTTCTTTAGAAATTTCTTTCTCTTTTTCTTTAATTACTATAAGAGTTTATTTATAGCTCTTTTATTAGTAGCAAGGAATTACTGAAAATAAAGGAGGTTCTAGCGCCTTTGGCTTCGCTTACTAATTAGCGCTAGGCCTGGTGTAGTAAAGAGCGCCTTTAGTAATACCGAATACGGCTAGCCCAGACCTTATTTTAGCCTTATCTCGGCTTCCGAAGCTCCAGAGTCATGTGCGTAATCACGTGATAAATCTAATTAATTATCTTTGATTATCTTTGATTATAATTAAGTATGATTTGATTAGCTTGATTTTGACTTGATTTGATTTGAGTAGGGGTGTCTAATCAAATCAAACCTAATCATTTGACACACTGACATCAACTCAGAGGCTAACCGCCCTCGGCTTACAGTCGGCTCAGCCGGCTCACCAAAGCTGCCTGGGCAACCTAAGCAGTACCCACTTAACTAATGAGGCTAGTTGTTGGCTTGGGGCCTCACAATGTCAAAAAATATATTATTGGAGCTATGGTCTCCCTATACTGAAATATTTGGGGGATACCCGGCTGGCCGTTGATCTAAAATAGGACACATTCAAGACATCACTCGCATTTGAAAAACACTATGAACGAGCTAGTTTTTGGTAACTAGTGAAGTTTGATATGATCAATACTAATAAACTCATAACGCAAACGCAGAATATATTTTTCAGCCGTTCCAGAATGAGAACCCAAAGTAGAAGGAGACACAATTGATAACATCCAAGTTTTTTAGAACGAAGATACCCGGAGGAAAAGGGTAAAACCAAAGCCAGTTTGAGAAATCAGCCAATCAACCATGCATAGAATCAGAATGAGGGGACAGAACCGTAAAGTAGTGACATAAAGAGTCTTTAAGAGGAAATTAGATAGGCAAGGCATAGAGGAGAGTGGCAGTATTTGATAAGGAAAGGTCAAGTGACCTTTGAATGTCAAAATATCGCCGCTCTCGACCAACGGAAGGCGGCAAATCCAGGAGGACGTTGGTTGAATGAGATTACGGTCCTAAGTGTCGATCAATCGTCCTTGGCGCCAAAAGAGTGCGATTGAGAGTGACAAGGACAGAGTGGAAATTCTTTTCGATTGGAGGTAGGAGACCTGCCTGCTGCTCTTCATGTAATCTGCGGAGGCAGCAATTGAAACCTGGTATCTTGTTGATCAGTTGGCGTTGGGCTGAAATATATCTACGCATTCTTCGCAAGTGTTTGAGATCTCAAGTCCGTCGAAGTCGCCTTTGGTAATTGTGCAAGTATTGCTTTGGGAGCGTTCGGCAATTTGATAAACAATTGCGGAAATATTCTCATAATCCATCTGAGGAGAACAATGGTAGTATGGCACATCTTTTTTTTTTTCCGTCCCAAGGTCGGTTAGTAAGCTCGCCGCTTCTACTCAGGCGCTAATCACCCTCTGCTCACCCTCTCCTTACCCAGCTCACCTGAGCAGCCTGAGTAACCTGAGCAGTCCCTGAGCAGCCCCTGAGTAGTACCCACTACTCTCTTACATATTTGATCTCTAATTAAGCTAGATATAGACTAGGCTCTTTTTATTTCATTTTTATCAAGTTTTGGTAATAATCCCTGGAGAGCCTAAATAGGCTTCTAAGGATCCCGAACTAGACCCTTATAAAACTAGATCTATCTAATATTATAGATAATTACTTATAGTAGTAAAATATAATAGTCTTATTTAAGAAGAGATTTGCTACTATCTTTTATAATTCCTCTTCCTATCTCTATTTATAGCCTGAATTTCTTTTTCCTAACTTAATTACTAAGCGATTTCTAATCTTTCTTTTTTTAGATAATATTATATATTTCATATTACTTTATTTCTCTTTATTTCTTTATTTTACTTTTATAACTATAGGAACTCTTTATAATACTAAAGCCTAAATCGCCTAAGGATTTCTTTAAGAAAGTCTATAAAAATAGTTCCGAGAATAATAAAGATACTCTTATTACTAGAAAAGAAATTAAGAAAGAGCTCGAATTACTTATTTTAAAGAAATACTACTATATACTAGTAATTTGGAATTAATAAGATTCCTATAATTTAAAGTAAAATATTTCTAATATTTAGTTCTTTACTTAATAGATATAAACTCGAATAATTTAAATATAAATATCTTATTATTATTTTATATAATATAAAAATACTATAGAACTTTATTATAGATATAGTATATAGTATTAAAGAAGCTTATAATAATTCTATAATATATATAAGTATAGTTATTATATATTTAAAGAATTTTTCTAATAGCTTAATTAATAATAGTTAGCCAGAACTTAGTAAATAGTTAACTAGTAATATTAGAAATATATATAATTTCTCTTTTTCTTAATAAAGTACGAATTCTAATTACTAATATATTTTAGTTTATATAAGATTCTTTACTCGAATTATTTAAAATAATATATTAAAAGTAGCTAAGAAAATATAATATAATAATTTACTTTAAATATCTTAGAACTTAACTCTAGTAATATAATTAGAAGATATACTTAAAGCCAGGAATAAGATTAGATCTTTAGGATAAGATTCAGGTAAATGTTCTCTTATTATTAAGAATAAGAAAGTATATAGAATTCACTTGCCGGCCTAGTTCTAGTTAAGGCCTCTATTATTAAGTAAGTTCATTAGTATTTAAACTATAATTAAATACTATAACTAATAGTTTTTATTAGGATATTAAGTTTAGACTATTTCAAAACGAGAATAGAAACCCAGAGTTTACTATATAGCTTATATAAGATATAAAAAATATAACTAAAACTCTAGATAAAAGATTTACTTAATTAAAGAATATTAAAATTAATTAAGGAAAACTAATAATTTAATAGACCAGAGCATTTCTTATATAAGGAATTAGTACTTATACTACTATTTTGGAATTCAATTCTAATATATCTTATTATTTTTATTATAAAGAATACTTTTAGATTATATAAAATAATAGAATTACTTCTTAATCTTAAGCTATTACTAGATAATAAGATATATTAACTAGATTAGAATTTGACTATCCTTAATATATCTTTCTTTTAGAGAGATACTAGAGAAATTAATATAGCTAGTATATATAATAAATACTTAAGGGAATTAGATATTTGCTTTTCTTATACTATATTACTTATAAACTATAATTTTAGGGTAAAAGATTTATAAATTATTAGTATATTTCACTTATATTTATTAAAAATATTTAGTTCCTAACTAATATATATAAATATACTATATTTATTAATTCAGAGAATAAAGTATAATAGATATAAAAATAAAAGTATTTATAATAATTATTATACTTTAAATAATACCGGAGTTAATAATTAAAGTACTTATATTAGTACTCTAGTATATAGCCGTTCTAGTAATCTATTTCGAGGCTTAACTATATCCCATAATCTAGAACTATAGTAGTTTCTTTTTATTAAAAAGCAGAATAAGCTCGAGAATAGCCCAGAATTTAAGACTATTAAAGATAAGCTAGAAAATCTTTCTTTATTCTCTAAAAAACAATTTAAAAACAAAAAATTAGTAAAAGAAGTTATAGATATAAAAGAAGAAGCTTATTATAGATAAGCTCTATAAATACCAGAAATACTAATTAAAGGAGCTTCTTTTTAAGAATAGCAAGTCTAATCTAACTAGGTATTACTGGACTTTATTTTCCTATATTTATATTC